CCTGTTCGTCAAGTGCAAGGATTTCCTGTCCTCGCTGCTCTCCCTCATCTGCCTCATCGGAACATCTATCTACAAGCACTTTCGCCCACCTGCCCCCGTCTCCCAACGATGGATTCTCTCGCTGATCCCAGCTTACTCGGAGAGCGAGGAGCAACTAATCAAGACGGTCTACTCTCTCCGCGACAATGGCTGCGAGCCGCACAAACAAGTCATGTGCATCGTCTTGGACGGAAAGCCGCGCAACATTAAGCGCGAGTTCTCCCGCATCGTTGTCGACATTGAACGCCCCTACCACTCTCTTAAGTACAAAAAGGGTACACTCAAAATTACCGCCGGCTTCATGCAGGACGTGCCCGTCATCGTCATCGAAAAGGTCAAGAATAGCGGCAAGAAGGACTCCCTCATCCTAACCCACGACCTCTTCAACGCCCCCCGAGAGAACATGCCCACATACACCCGCCTCCTCCGCGAAGAAATCTGGCGCACCATTCTCCCGCCTCTGACCGAGGGCACCGGCTTCAAGAACTTTGACATGGTCTTTTGCACAGACGCCGACTCAGTCATCCACCAAGGTTGCGTCGCCAAGCTCGCCAACGCCCTCGCCCGCGAAAAGAACGCCATCGCCAGCTGCGGCATCGTCCTCGTCGAGCTCGAACCGGGCTACGAGTGGTCTTTCTGGAACCTCTACCAGCAGCTGCAGTACACCTTTGGCCAGTTCGTCCGGCGTCGCGCAGAAGGCTTCATCGGAAAAGTTACCTGCCTCCCCGGCTGCGTCACCATGGTCGCCGTCCGCGAGGAGATGGCCGGCGCCATCGCCAAATATGCGCGCCCCGTCAAGGAAGACTGGGTCGTCCACCACCAAGTCCAGAACCTCGGCACCGACCGTCGTCTGACGTACTGCATGCTCAGCCAGTCCTCCAAGCTGCAGACAATCTTTGTGCCCGACGCCGTCTCCGAGACAGTCGCGCCGCAGTCCTTCAAGCACTACGTCCACCAGCGCCGGCGGTGGGGTTCCAACGCCTACTTCAACAACTACTTCTACTGCGGCGGCGAGAACATGATCCTCATCACGCGAATCGCTGCTGCCATTGACATTGCCCGGCAGACGCTAGTGTACTACCGCGTCCTCAACACAATCCTCTTCATTCGCGCGCTCATCCAGGCTTTCAACCCTTGGGATATTCTCCCGCTGCTTGTGGTGGGCCAATTCCCCGTTATCTGGTTTTGTGTCTGCTTGGCCGTTGAGCCAGCTCTGCGCCAGCGCGCCCACAAGATTATTCTCGGATTCTTTGTCAACAAGCTCGTCTCGCCGTTCATGTCCATCATCATCTTCTCAGCTGTTGCCAAGAATCTCGGCAACGCTGTTTGGGGCATGTCTGGCGTCACCGCATCGTCTGCTGCACCGCCTCCTGTTCCCAAAGATAAGCTCTCAGAGGCAGAAGAGGGCAAAGGCGGCGCTGAGAGGCCGGAAAGCCCCATCTCTCGGCCTCCCTCGCCGCCGGAAGTGCTCTAAGCCACAACTTTGGCATATGATTCACCTGAAGGCATGTTTGGACCTTCTAATCATCCATTTCACCATTCTATTCTTAGACATGAGTCACCTAATTCATTCCTGTTGATTTTATTTTTGTATTTTGCCCCGAAAAGATACTATGTAGATGATGTGCTTAGACTTAGTACATGGAGGAGTTGTAATTTTCATAAAATTCATTGTACATATTCAAACTCTCTGTGCTCCTGAACGATAGTCGAAAACGAAGTTACTCACTTCGGGCGCCTGCATAAAGCCGTGGCATTCTCTTGTCCACATTTGATGCTTCTTAGGAGTTCAACATCTGGTATCGCAAAATCACTGCATGCATCAAGTTGAGCCGTAATAACCCGAGACGAAAATTCTATGTAAGCCAAACGTGAGCCCACAGACCAACACTGTCAGCACTTTCATGGACCGCAATTCAAAAATTCGCTTAAGTTTTCACTTTTCGGTCTTGTCAGTGAAGTCCATAGCAGAAGCGTCCTCTTAGGCTACGTCTGTGCTCATGCCACTACTACGTATTCACTTTCCATCAATGCATCACATGCAGGAACCCGGCAGGCATTGATGCGGTGCTTAACAATCAAGAGCCTGCAGTTGCTGTTTATGAGCTGAAAGAACTAGTCGTCAAGCGCGGAGTGCCTCAAGCCACAGGTAGCCGAAGAAGCTTAGTCCGGGGGTGCTGGGGAACATATCTGCGCAGCAACAGGGGTCCATGTTAACATTTTAGCTTCAAGACACGCGGCTCGGCGACTCAGGTCTAACCAGAATTGAAGCTAAGTTGGTGCCGTTTCTTTTCTTCTCCTGAGTCAACCCCTGGTGTGCTGGATCTAGGCGTGAAGAAAGGAGGGGAGTATACTATACGCCTTTTGGCTTAGATGGTTTATGCACATAACGAGTGAGTACGTATTGCCGGCCGCAGTCCCCATCCCGCGTGCCGCCCGGACGGAGCCCTCCGCGGCTTTTTTTTGACTTCCCGCCCCCAATTTCCCGCTCCGTTGGGAAACCTCTCCGAACAAGACTAGTGAACTAACAACTGCGCCATAAAGGTCAGCACATGAACAAGAAAACGTCGCCTTATGCCAAAATTGAGATTAGACCAGAATGGCATAGTAGCTGCCACAGCTACGTTCAAAGTAGCAGGCTCCGGAGACTTGGGCCAGGTAGCCCGCGAAGGCCGAAATCCACCGACTTTTTCTTTTCCACAATCTCGGAGATGAGTCTATTCCTTGATGAGGCATCGCCTTCTCTTACGATACCAGCGCAACGGCAAGCTATTCCTAGCGGAGGCTATCTTTCTCCAGCCTCAGATTCGCCTCCAAGATCTTACTGGCTCATGTGCGAAGGACCATCAACAACGTTTCCCAAGCTAGGCCCTGGGTCTTGACTTACACATGCCAAGTCTATCAACGTGTCAGGTCACCAGCCATTCTACCATTTCAATATGGGGAAGTCAAAGTGGTCCACCGCCAGTGCGGACCACGGAATCACCGCATGTGTGTCGTAAGCTATCGAGCGATAGTCACCATTCCCACGCAAGCCTCATGCCATTTTCTCAACATTGACTCGCAATGCCATGTCAGCTGCAAAGGCGTAATCGGAAACCAATCTCGTGAGAGACTTGTGGATTCAGGGTCCAAGTTCTAGACCATCTCTGGCAACACCTTCAACATCATATAATAACCAGAACATTGTCGAGCATACTCACAATCTTTTATCCTCATCAGCCTCTTCAGACCACTGCCAGTCACCGAGCCCTCACTCACTCTCCCACACTCTTTCCCACAACTTGCTTCCTGCGAGATTCCACTCTTTTCCCACCTACAGTCACTCACTTCTGTCGCTCACTTGCACAAAACGCACCTCATAACAATGCATTTCATCAAGTCTCTCGTCAGCCTCCTCCCCATCGCGGGCATGGTCTCGGCCGCAGCCATCTCCGGCACCTCTGCAGCCGCAGATGCCGCCATCACTGCCTCCGCCGCAGTCGCCGTCAACGACGGCGATGGCTCCATTCCTGCCTCCGTGGCCAGCGGTCTCAGCGACAAGGCCATCACCGCCGTCATTGACACCACCACCTCCGTCACCAAGACCATCAAGACCACCGTCACCACTGAGAGCAAGACCTACACGGCCACCTCTCGCACCACCATCGCCACTGAGAACCTCACTCTCACCTACACCCAGCGCACCACTGCCTCCACCACCACCCTCGCCCTGACCTACACCTCTCGCACCACGGCAGCCGTCCAGACTCTCGTCCTCACGGCCACCGTTCGCACCACCGCATCCACCACTACCCTCACCCGCACCGCTCGTGCCACGGTTGAGGCCTCTGAGACTGTCACCGTCACTCCTACAGTTACCGGCGAGCCGTCCACCATCCACTCCACCGTCCTGGACGTCACCACTCTCCCCTCCACCGAGTACTCCACCTCCACGGCCTACTCCACCGTCTACCTCGACGAGACCACCACCGTGCCCACAGTCGTCTATGCGACCGAGTACACCACCGAAACCCGCGTCTCTACTGTCAACGAGATCACCACCCTCGGAAGCACCGTCTACACCACCGCCACCGCCGTCGTCGACACCACGGTCTACGAGACGGAAGTCGCCACCGTTGAGTCCACCCAGTACAATATCGCCACGGTTCCTACGACCATCTACTCCACTGAGATCGTGCCCACCACGGCTTACCGCACCGAGGTTGTCAACGCCACCATCACTGCCTCCGTCACGGAGACGGCCACGGCTACGATCACGCAGACGGCCACCGTTCCTGCTGACCAGAGCGTCTGCCTGTACCGCTATGCCTATATCACGCGCACCCAGACGGCGAGCGTCGCGCCCAAGTACTCCACCTACACGGTTTCCACCATTACCTGCCTGGCTGCCCAGCCTACCTGCGACTCTCGCACCGGCAACTGCAACAAGTTTGCTCGTCTGGTCCTCAGCGCCGAGCCTACCTCTACCTAAGTCTGACTTTGAGACGCGGACTTAGCCAAGGCCAAAAGTAGCTATACTAGCAGCGGCGGCAACAAACATGTACCCTCCATTGAGGCCAGCAGCCTATTCTTCTTTTTGTTTTTGTAGTGCCCGGTTTATAAGTGTTATACATGAAGCATAGCGTTATGCATCGGGGGGATAGGATTTTATGTAATGAGTTATGCGGGGTAGACTTCGATTCTTCTGCTGGGCCTCAGGGATACAGACAAGGTACTTAATCAAAAGTTGGGAATAAATTGCTTCGGTCTTACGATGCCAGCGCTTGATGGTGAACAAAATGACGATGTGAGATGCCGGAGACGACGAACATAATCGCAGCAGCCAGGCTGTATAGTGCCCGAAGAGTGAGCAACATCTGGGAAGAAATGGTTGGTGATGGCTTGGCCACCACGCATCTAGGGTGAACATATTTTAACTAAAGAATTGAAGTGTATGGTGGCGCTCTGTGTGCGCTCACTCAGGCCTCCTCCGCACCGGCAAAGATGGCGACACCAAATGACCGGGTCCACGTGCTCCCCTCGCTGTCCTTGACACTGATCTCAAGATGATCAATACCAGCCTCAGCGCCAGCAGCATACGTAGCCTTACCCCCACTGACAGTAACCTCTCCCTTCTTTGCCCCAGAAACCGTAAACGTAGGCTCCTTGAATCCCAGAGCCAGAGCAGCAAGGTCAACCTCGACAGACTTGGAAGGCGAAACATACGCGTGAGGATCAGCCATGAAGTTGAGATACCCCTCGATGGGAGTGTACCCATCACCACCAGTTGACCCATCCCACCAATCCGCAATACCGTCTCCATCAGCATCCCAGCTGGCTGCGCGCGTAACAGTAGGGAAATCCTCGAGCCCGCCCGCGTCCTTGGGGTCGTCAATGAGGCCCTTCTTGCCCGACACGGAGCCGACGTAGGTGGCGGTTCCCGTGGCCGTCTCGTTGACGATACGGGCGTCGTGGATGTCGCGGACGGGCTGGCTGGCGCCGCTGTCGGAGAGCACGCGTTTGTAAGCCTCGGTCGAGGGCTGCGTCTCGACGTGGGGCTCGAAGAACTCCTTATCGAAGAATTTTTGGTAGGTCGGGGCCGGCTCGAAGCTGACGTCGGCCCAGCAGGCGATTGTGGTGTTCTTTGTGGCGGTGCCGTCGCCAGAGGGATACTGGACTGAGTCCTGGTCGAAGAAGCCAGGCATGGAGTTTCCGGCGCAGTAGTACTGTTGCATGCCGGGCATGTTGTCCTCGTACTGTATGTATCATGTTAGCGGTAGGGATATTTCGTCTTGTGGATAACTTCCATACCTGTGCTCTGAGGGCGTAGGGAAGCGTGGAGGCCGGCCCATGCTTGTAATAATTTCCTACAAAGTTGACCTTCTTTGCACCGCCATCGGTAGCACGGCCACCTGTACATGTTAAAATTTCTAAATCCTCTTCATAACGCGTGTGTCACATACCAAAGTTATAGACGACGTTGTTGCGAATGTCAAGCTGGCCGGCAAACGCAGCATTGTCGTCAACACCGCCGCCCATGCTCCAGCTACGACCCTCGGCGTGGGCGAGCAAGTTGTGATGGAAAGATCCGACGTCTCCGCCAATCGTGGCGCTATAGCCGTGAGCAGTGCCGTTGGGGTAGTTCTTGTGGCCGGCGACGTTGAGAGGTTCCGAGATCATGTTGCGCTGGAAGGTGATGTTCCAAGCAGACCGCGAGCTGAAAGCCTCGTCGATCGTCCAGCCCTATTCATCGGTTGTTACAAAGTATCCTCTCATGGCGTTTGGAAGTGAACATACCATAGAGCAGCGGTCAAAGATGCAGTGGTTTGAACCCTGCATACCCATTCCGTCGATAGTCTGCCCAGAGACTTTGCCAGGCCGCACGCGCATGTGGCGGAAGATGATGTCGGACGCGCCGGTCAGGCCAAGTGGGTTACCCTGGATGACGATGCCCTTGCCCGGCGCGGTCTGGCCGGCGAGGGTGATGTACTGGTCGTTGACGGACATGCGGGAGGTGGTGGTGATAACGCCACCGACGTCGAAGACGACGATGCGCGGGCCCTTGGCGATGGTCAGGGCATAACGGAGGGTGCCTTCGGCTTCACTGTCTTCGAGGCTGGTCACCTTGATGACTTTGCCGCCGCGGCCACCACGGGCGAAGCGACTGTAGATGATGTTAGTAGGTTTCAATGCAATAATGGTAGGGTTTGAAGACGTACCCCCAACCTTCGGCACCGGGGAAGGCTAGGTGAGCGACGCGGAAGAAGAAGACGCGGCCAGTGTAGGTGGTTGATCCGGAAACAACATCGACTCGCCAGTAAAAGCTGTCGACGGTGTTGAGGCCTGTAATAAGATTAGATAAAGTACACGGCCAACATAAAATGACATCAAGAACGTACCAGGAAGCTTGGCGCTCGTCTCCGTCACGCCCTCAGCAACGCTCTTCAAGTCAGTCTGCGACGTGCCGAGGTACACATTGTACTTGACACCCTCAGCAGAGGCGGGAGCCTGCCAAGTAGCAGTGACGCTGTCGTCCGCCGCAACCTCGATGCGCTCGTCGCGGTGCTTGGGCGTAGGGAAGCTGATCTGGTTCTGCATCGACGGGGCATCGACCTCGAACCCGTTGAGGAAAGCCCGCTTGTCGCCGCCGCTGCCCGGGGTGTAGACGATCTTGGTCTCCTGCGTCGCGGATGTAACTTCGAACGTCAGATACGAGGTCGCGGCCTGCCAGATGTTGTCCACGCGCGCAGACTGCTTGACGGCCGTCAGATCAGTCTGTCCGTTGACGGAAATGTCGATCGTCGCCGTTTCGTTGAGGGCGTCCCAGGCGTTGTGCCATGTCAGCAGGCTGTGGTTGCCCGGCACGAGACCCTTGATCGTGAGCGTGATCGGTGAGCCATCCTTGTTGGAGTTGCTGATGCCCTCGTTGACGACGCGCTCGCCCAAGGAGGAGAGGATGCGCGTGTACTGGTACTTGTAGTAGTTGCCCGCCAGCTCAGAGCCGTTGCCCGCGGCGAGGGTGAAGGTGACGTCGCTCTCAGTGATGTTGGCGACCGTAATGTTAGCTTTGGAGGAGCCGGGGATCGTCCAGGTGATGAAGTCCGAGTCGACGAGGTTCCGGACGTTGGCCGGGTTGAGGCGGAGCCGGATGGGCGCTACGGCGGGGAGCGCGCCCGAAGACGGCTGCGGTGACCCGGCGGACGCCGAAGCCGAGGCCGAGGGCGGGGCCGACTCCTGGGCCAGCGAGGCCGTGGCGAGCACCGCCGTGGCCAGGGCCTTGAATATGCCCTTCATGATATGTGCAAGGATGTGTTTAATGATCGAGGAAAAGACTGACGAAAACGAATGAAAGAGAGGTACGCATATAGGTTCCTGAGAGCTCCCAAGGGATTCGCGGGAAGGAAGTCTTGGGCCACTCAATATGTAGGACACCAAGACGGACGGTCTCTCGCGCCATATTTGCCCCGAACCCACCAGTTCTCTGCCCTTCATTTCCCCGTGAGGCTGATCGTCCTCTGTAGTCAAAGTGTCCCATTTACCTGCAGCTGCATCCCCAGATTGGAAAGAGATGGAGGGATCCCCCCTCGGATGAACCGCCCGGGAACATGAGACGAGGATTGGTGGGGTGGTGACCTGCATGCGCGCCCTAACGAATTGCCTGAAAGCAAAGGTGGCTGCAGCACCGGGAAAATCCAGCACGAACTCGTTTCCACGAGTAGTGTGGTACCCTTGCCATGACCTTCTGTGCCTGCGTCGCATCCGCTGACATGACGGCGCGGACCTGGGTGCCGCTGTCTTGCAGGTCTTGGCACCTTTCTACAAGTGGACCCAGCGGGTATGAAGTGTGTTTAGGCTTGATGAGGCAGCTCGTTTTCCGAGCCGTAACCTCCAGGGTGGCTTCTAAGGCGCGAAATTGCAAAGGGGTTCGTGAACGGTAAAAAGATGGAACATTAGATCTGCTGCAGCCGCAAGGTGACGTCTCTAAGCTTCCTTCGGAGTTTGGATCTGAACAAAGTTGGTTGAGTGTTTCCGGCCGGCGCAGTCCGGTCTGGGCTGGGATTAAATGAACCCGGTCAGCTTGGGATGAAGACCCTGAAGCTTCTATGCGCTATCCCTGGAAGCTCTGTGCAGCTCATCTTTGAAAGGTCTAATAGACAAGATGATTTTTGGTCAATCTAGGTTGGCCGACCGCAACAGAGTCCACATCACGATTTGTCTCGGCACCGGCTTAAGAGATGTTGAGTTGTTGCGTACTACGATTCTGTCCCGAGTCAAGGTTCCCAATGGTGACATGATCAGAGTTTAGACTGTCAAATTGCTCAGACTCAACCTACCTTGGCATAGAGCACTGACACTACCCGATTTTGTCGCTTTCAGTAATTGATCCCGAAGCAGTTCTTGCCAACCTCGGTTTCCGTTCAGCCCATCTCTCAATTATGCTTTTCATCTAAGATGGCTGTTACATTGACGTACTAAATGGAAATTTTCAGAACTTTATTGGTCCGTTCAACGTACTCAAGCACTGGTGCGGAACAGCTCTGCGCTTTTGTCTTCCGATACTTCGAGTCGCAAAGAGTGCACCAGACCATGCTCAAAACATTGTATCAGGAGCGCGAGTTGTCATGTCTCACTGATGAGCTTCACCTACCACACTCATTGACAGAATGCGATTCTGACAACTTGATGTTAGTTGACGTAGGTACGGAGTTGTAATGAGATGAGACAATGCGATTGAGTTGAGAGCGGACCCCAAACAGCCTGGCGGCAAACGACGCCGTTGCTTGCGTGCACGTCACGGGGTGCCCTAGAACCTAAATCCCACATTACGGTACGGATACGGAAACTTGTACATGGACGAAGGGTGAATAATAAGTTGACAACAATAGTTGTAACGTACGATTCCATTTCATTAGGACTTGGCTCATTCTTGAAAGAGCCTACACGCAGAACGCTCCACACAAAAACATAACCTTTCTTAGCCAACAAGGCCGAATGCAAAACCGCCCTATTCCTAAAGTTTCTGGGCTCTGAGCACTGTTTAGATCCCATTTCTTCTCAATGTAGTCTTGCGAAAAGTTCGAGTCGTGAGTCATGAATACACCACATGCTAGCATGCACGGGTATTCAGACTTATGGACGTTATGTGGGATTGGACCAAACAATCGACCTTTAGTACTTAACCACGTGTGCCATTCTACTCTTCATGTCAAATCTTGAAGAGAAGCCAATGACTTTCTAGAAAGAATCCCATAACAAGTAATGGTAGCTTTCATGGCTGACATTTCTATACTCTTCACGGTTGAATTGCCTTTGGCATTCAATGGCAGCTTCCCTTCATGTTTACAGCCTACCTTACTTGGTACCTTATGTTCAATACCCTATTTACTGTATAAGTCTACAGGTTAAATCTAGTATAGCGTGGAGATAAAGCTTCTCGCCTTGGAGCTTTATTTGCGTAATTTAAGAAACGCGATGAAATTGGGCCGAAGGCTGCTTAACGTGAATCTTTCCTTTGGCACTCATCGGATGCTGATCCATGGCTGTGACCGGGGGAACAGTTTCGACGCTGAAGTTTCCCCAAGGACCCCAAATGAGATAGCTTACAGTCTAGATTCATGTTGTGGTACTAAACGACTGATGATGCACGAGACACCGGTCAGTCCGGAGCATGGTGATCGCCAAAGTGGAAAGATCGCGAGGGAAACTCTGAAGTGGCAGAGTAACACAACAATCCGAGTCAGATACGTGGCACTGGGCAGAAAGGGATCGATCGAGCGACGGCAATTCCGTCGTCGTAGAAAAGCACGCTATAATGACTCGGATCGTGATCTCAGGATATGAACGGCCGGTGGGATGTTGGTCGGTGACTTTGTGGGATGCCGTCAACCATCGCCATTCAATCAATGCGCGAGGTCCTAGCAATCTTAGAACAGGTTGGTAGCAGTGCGACTCAGGGCATTGAAAGTCTACGTAGATGAAATGTGTTTGACGAACACACTCAGGGCAAGTCTTGCTCTATGGACTAATGACATCCAGCACACCCTCTGGGAGCTCACGCAGGTATGGCGGCATGTTGACTTCGGCGCCGGCCCCGGCGTGCAGGACGATCGCGACTAGGCTCCGTATCATCCGGTCGCCGAGTCATCCATACGCAGGCGGGACACGGGTAAGGGGAGTTAGAAATCACACAACCCACAAACCCGACGCAATGGTTATGAGGTACGGAAGCGGGGAGGAAGAATTCGCGCAGCTGTATGCGCCCAGGTCCCGCCGAATCACATCAGACTATTTGAGTCAACTTCTCCCCGCCGTTCGTTTACATGCCGGCACTTGCTGCTGTGCCACCTTGGCGCACAGATTCTTCGAAGAACATTCCGCAGCTCACAGCTGCCATAATCTCCAGAGTCGCAAGCCGAATCCGGCATTAGATTTGTCTCCACGAACGCAACAAAGAGGCACTTTGTACGGCCGAGGCTTCGGACCAAAGATAATCCCAGCAACGGCCGGTAGATGGCCTTTAGCGAACAAAGGAGCCGAACCTAGTGCCGGTAAGAGCAAGGTGAGCATGACTCGCGTACGCTAAAGATATTACAGCACCATGTCCTCGGGCTGCTAGATTGCAAAAAGCTCTCTCCCATTGGCATACCGCGGAAACTAGTGGGGGGTTGGCCGATATGACGGCTGCTATCATTGCGGGGTTATTTCACGAGACAAAGAGACGCGAAAGCTTGAAGAAGTTGTCGGGGCCTCAGATCATGATCACCGTCACCTCGCCCGGGAAGTCTTCGGACCACCGAGACATGCACAACCCGACTGCTGCAACATCGCGGACATCCAGCATAGCATAGCTTGGTGATCATGTTTCTGCTCCATGGGTTCGTCGACCCATACCTGACAGCCGGGGCCGCGATCCTCTTCGCGATCCTCTTCGCCGTCCTGCGCCCGAAGAAGCCGACCCATCCGCCGGGGACAACTCTCCCGCCAGGTCCCAAACCCAAACCCCTCATCGGCAACCTCCTCTCGATCCCGCCGGTACACTCCTGGCTGGCCTTCCACGAGCTCATCAAAGAGCACGGCCCCGTCGTCCGCCTCGCCCTCCCGGGCGGCCAGGAGCACGTCCTCCTCGGCACCGAGGCCGCCGCAAACGAGCTTCTCCGCCAGCGGGGCAACATCTACAGCGATCGGCACTATGCGCCGGCATCGTCGCACTTCCTGACGGATGATCACATGCTCCTGCTGCTTCCCTATGACGAGAAATGGAGAAACTACCGGAGGTTTCTGCACCAGGTCACAATGTCGCCGGTGGCGCCGCAGTACGAGACGGAGCAGCGCATCGAGGCGGTCAGATTACTCCGCGACCTGATCCGCAAGCCGCGCGACTACGAGGCCCTCTTTGAGCGGTTCAGCGTCGGGCTGGGCATGCGCATCATCTACGGCCTGCGCGCGGAAACCGGCCATGACCGTGAGGTGCGGATGCTGCTCGACATCGTCCACGAGCTGGAGCGCGTGGGCTCGCCCGGGGCGTATCTCGTCGATATCTTCCCGTCGCTAAAGTATCTGCCAGAGTGGATGGCGCCCTGGAAGAAATACCTCCGAGCACGGAGGCGCCGCGACGAGGACTTCTTCCAAGAGTTGATCGACCGGAGCAAGTCGCCGTCTTGGGCGCGGACGTGGCTCGAAACGCAAGACCAGTGGGGGCTCACGCGGCGGGAGGCGAATTGGATGCTGGGATCTGTATTTCAGGCTGCGGGAACGACTTCTGGGTCGGCTCTTGCGTCTTTCATTCTCTGCGTTGTCAGGAACCCTGGGTGGTTTGAGAAGCTTCAGGCCGAGGTCGACTCTGTTGTTGGACCCGACAGGTTACCTACTTTCGAAGACATGCCACAGCTTCCGCTTGTCAGGGCGTGCGTGAAGGAGACGCTGCGGTACTACCCGATCACGGCCGGCGGTTTCCCTCACCGGCTGACGGAAGACGATACGTACAACGGATATTACTTGAAGAAGGGGACCGTGGTGCATGCGGTGCAGTGGGCTATCCAACGCGACCCGGAGACCTACCCAGAGCCCGAGCTCTTCAACCCGGACCGCTGGCTGAATCCCAAGTATCCGACATATAGAGAACCTCTCACAGTCTATCCCAACTTGCAGCAGTTCACGGCGTTCGGACATGGCCGCCGGATATGCCAAGGGATCAATATTGCTGAGCGGAGTCTCAACCTCAAGATCGCGCTGCTTGCTTGGGCTTGTAACATTTCTCGGGCTAGGGACGGTAACGGCAAAGAGGTTATACCGCC